AGAGGTTTTCTTTTAAGCCCATATAGAGTTTTTTTTTTTTTTTTTTTTTTTTTTTTTAATTCTTTATCTAAATCGTCTTAACATTGTGTAAACACCCTCTGTATCACTGCAAATGAAGGTCTTAAACTATTGATAACCCTATGCAAATTTCTCGTTATAACATATCTAAGCAACTACACGATATCTGAGCAAGACTTGGCATACGATATGACGTGTTTAAAAAACCTGCTCATAATAAATTGACTGATCAAACCCGTTTCTCTTTCCGAAGAATTCGTTCTTCTTCCTACCAAACTAATTTATTAACTTCGCGCGCATAGTGGAATAGTAAAGGAGTCGGACAACCAGTGCAAATAAAATTCACTCAAAAGGGTTATAGTTTTTTAAAGGTGCGGTCATTTTTTTTTTTAAACTGAATATTTTAAATAAAGAATAATACTGAAGCTACAATTAAATGCAAACCAGATAAAGAAAATAGGTAGTGTTAATAGAGCGCGTACGAGTTAAAAATTCTAGATTTTTTTTTAAAAGATACTGTGACGGGCAGTTACATATTCAACATTGGCCACTCCTAAAGCCAGAAGTGATGGCCATTTTATTGCTGAGGCACCTAACAAGTAGCCACCGTAGCCTCCTATGAAAGGACAGATAGTTACAACCATGCCTTCTTCGAAATAGTATGCAAAAAATGTTTCATCATAAATGAAATTGGTAAATCCTTGAGTGCATTTAATCTTTTTAGAATAAAATAAACATTTTTAGTAAATTGCTTACTCTAATGCACATGCAGATACTGTATTTGTAGTATAAGTATATTGTTTACTTGATGAATGGATGCCGCTATCTATCTATCTGCCGCTATTTATCTCTTTATTGTAGAACTTTCCGGTTATACTATCTAATCGGTTTTTCACTACTTATCAATTTTTTCTGTTTTTGTTACTCCTTTATTTATATTTATTTTTTACAGTTACTTGAGGCGCAGTCACATACAAATAAAAGAAATAAGTAAAGTAAACATCAGCGTCTGTTTGTTGGAAAAAAGGCAAATTTTTACCACTTTCAAAAATAAGTGAGTAAATAAAACATACAAAGTCCGCCTACAATGCTAAATTTAACTCACAAAAAATTAAATGTCGTGAGTTTTGCTAAGATTTTTTTTTTTTTTACTTACGTTATTAAAACTCATGACAGTTGAAAATTTATTTTACTTAAAATACTTGCGAATTACTTTAATTTGTTACTGATTAAAAGAAATAGTTTCATTTAATCAGGACGTAAAAATTTAATACAGTCAAAAGTCGCTAATTCGGACACCCGTAATCCGGAATGATCTATAATCCGGACCTCAAAGCTAAAATCTTTCTGCGCATGAGCCGCATTGACGCATGCGCATAGGCGTTTTACTCGTGCGCGCAAGACGTTTACGACTGCGCATATGCATCTGCGCAAGTGCAGAATACGTTTTCGCGTGCGCGTTTAATGTATAACGGACGGTAAAAGCTAAAATTATCTAATTATCTATTTCAGTTAATGTTGATAATTGCGTTGTTCCTTAATCTTCAAATTGGATCCGGCTTATTATTTTTTGCAGACTGTAAGAGCAATTTTCTAAAAGTAAGCTTGAACTTTCGATTATGTCAAATAGAATTTCCGATGCTGGAGCTCCCAAAGGATCTAGAAAACGAAAGTATGTTTCGATGTCCATCAAACAAAAAACGAATTGCTACAAAAAATGGATAAAAGCATATCCTTTGTTTATCTAACCGTTCCGAAATCTGTTTATCAATTTCACGCTGCTCTGCGCGGGGGGGGGACGTCGCGGCGCGCAATGAACTGGAAGTTGATCTGTCAGCACTATCGTTATCTTCAGGGCAGATGTTTTTTATTTTATCGGCTTATAATTCCTTACTAAATGTAGTATTTCATTTCGATGTACTCCGTCTTTGATATGATTTAAATCAAATTCCTCGTCATTATAAATATCACGAATACAAATCAATAGTTTTCTGGTTGCAATTTTCTAATTTCGGCTATGAGTAATGGTATGCTTTACGCATCCGCGCGTTGAAAAGAAATGTTTAATAAAGTAAAACAAATAAATATTAGGCTTCTTTTTTTGGTAAATTTTGATACCCTTTAGATCATAATTGCTTCTTATTTCTATAAATTACGGTTTCATATTTTTAATTTTATAATTTCTGCATGCCATCTTACCAGATTTAAACTGATGATCTATAATCTGGAAAAATCGATAATCCGGAATCGCCGAAGTCCCGACGAGTCCGGATTAAAGACTTTTGACTGTATTTTATTTTCAGCTGCTGAGAAAAAAAAAAAAAAAAAAAAAAGAGCACACACAATAAAAGGGATACTTCTATATCTTCCGTTCGACTGGGGAGATTGACGAAATTTAACTTGTCTTTTTTCATTTCTCGAAAACGTTAGAATATAGTATATTAGATTTACATATACCAGGCTTCTAACACAAGCATTCTGACAAAAAAACCCGCCTTTTTCTGAAATGACATATCTTTATTTTTCCATACATCGATTTTACAACTCAAATTATGGCGAAGTGCCAAATTTTGTAAAACTCGAATGAGTACATTTTAAAGAATTTTCTCCCAAAATTTTAGCCCCTCAATGTTAATTTAATTTGATATATCCGTATTAATATTTCTTTTTATATTATTCCTTATCTTTTTGTATTGATTCCTACTTTTACAATTTTAAATTTAGATTCAATCCAAATAAAATTCGCCGCTATTTTCTGATTTGTTTTTATTTTTTTATTTATTTTTTTTTTAATATTTATAATTTTTTTATTATAACCTATACAATTTTTACCATTATTTCTAGGCATATCTGCAAAAAATAGAGTTTTTTTATTCAAAATCTTCAAAGATATACATGAATTTAAAAATTGGCGAGTTTTGAAATTTGGCATACTTTTTATTAGCGATAATAACACCAAATATGGTTTACGCACTTAGTTGAAATTATTTGAAGATTGAACAATGCAACTTTTTGTCGCTCATGCACAATGAAAGGAAAAGGAAAATACTTAGCATAAACCATAAATTAAGAATATCGCCAAGTGAATTAATTATTTTTGGCACAAATTGAAAAAATAACAAGATGTAATAAAGGCTAATTAAAGATAATTTTTTTAAATTTCTCGGTAAGTTACAAACCAGAATTTACAAAATTTTATATTTAGACGTAATTTAAGTCGTAGAATTGATATATGGAAAACGATTCGGTATGTGGTTTTAGAAAAAGTCCGATTTTATATTAAAAGCCTATGTTAGAGCAATGGTAGATGTAAATCTATTATACGAGTACATACTAAGTCGTACGCAAAACGAAAACTAATTTTTATCAATCAGCCTAGTAAAACGGATATAGAACTGTCCCCTTTATTGTTTTGTTTTGTTTTTGTGCAGTGTTGCATAAATTTGGAATAATTAACATGGAAGCGTAACAACTTTACCGTTTCCTTAAATAAACTAAACTGATTTAAGTAATACAGAGTTCCAAATATTGGCTTAGAATTTTATCTAAGATATTGTACAGATTTTATTCAAAAATGAATTCTTTAAATACAATTTTGAGATTAGTGGAAGGAAATTTAATTTAAGTAATTAAACTTCGTCTTTAACATTATGAGTGGAGATGAGATAATAATGCAACTGAAAGAGTGCCACGATAAGATGAAGAGCATGTGCCAGTTTATAAATTGCCTAAATTGACTGACTAATTCGTAATATGTTACAGTGTATCTTTAAGACATTCGTTTCAGGAAAAATCTCTTAGTTTATCTACTGTATTAAAGTTTGTGTTGAAAATGCCTGTTTATTTTTCATTGAACTCCTTAAGTGATTTTTTAAAAATATTTTGGGACGTTTAAAACTAACAAATAACTTATTTGTGACAACGTATCTGATCTTGTTTGCTGATAGCAAGATTAGTGACGACGTCATTAATTTTGTTGCTTGTCACTTGCCTTGTTTGCTATTCTGTCTAAATAAAATAAAATCTAATTGAAAACTAGTTAACATCCGCTACTTGAGATAAATAGCATATTAACATCTAATATTTATCATAGGAATGTCTGCTACAGTGCTGTATATAGAGTAACAGATAATGCTGTATATAGATTAACAAATTTTTAATCGTCCGAACAAAAAGTAATCCTCTTTTTCAAAAGACTATTCTGAAATAGGGCAATAAGTTAATTGTAATGCAATTAATTCTTGCAATCTGTAGGAGTAAACTGCCATTGCTAACAAGGTAATTAAATAAATATTTCTTTATAAAATAATTAAATAAAATGTGTTACAGAATTCTAAATGCCAAGGTGATTAGAAAGTAATGTAAAAATCAGGTTAGCCAAAGTTCAAATAGATAACAATATATGAAAATGATTCTGCTAATGGAATTTTTACTAATTTTCATAATCTTAAGGTCAAGCCCTTTCAAACCCTTTGCTTTAGCCCCAAAACTATTGGATTAACGTTTCGGTTATTTTATTCGTAGTAAATGCTTTCATATGATAGGGTGTGTATTTTACATACCATGCTTAAGATTTTTAACTACTTAGAAATTGTACAGAAATCAAAAGAAGATTTTTTTCCCGCTGTCTGTGAATGTCAATGATGAGGAAGATTTAAGAAGTCCCAAAGTGGAAATTTTTAGTGTAAAGAATGAATATTTTGCAGCAAAACCAATCTTCAAAGTGAGGATTGAAACGTTATTTGAAAAACTTCAGAAAATGACTGTATTGTATTAATAATGATATTTATGCAGTACTATTTTCTTTTATCGTTTGAAATTATCTGGGACAATATAGCATTACTTTCTAACAAACCCACTTAAAACTTAACTTGTAGTTATGAATGAAATAAACTTCAAAAATTTAATTTACATTAGCGCACAGTTTATTCTTCGACAAATGTAACCCATAAAGTAGAATTTAAATTTTTTTTTTTTTTCAGAGTTCATGGAAATGATGACTGGAGATTAACGTTGCCAACTACGCTGTTGCTTGCTGCAAAGATTTTTCGACTGAAGATGATTGAATGCAATGACGCTCTACGTGATTAATATTTAAGAAAATAAATATTGTTCTTTTATTCAAATAAATTGTGCTTTTGTAGTCACCTTTGTTTTTCTTCATATGTGTAGAGATTCAGAAAAATTAAGTTAATCGTCAATTCAGGACATAATGTATCTGGCAACTGTCGATGATTCATCGGCAAGTGAGGGCATATTAACTTTCTTACTATTGTAAATAAAATATTATTATAATTCGCGAGGTATTACTAAATTTATATTGCAATCATGTCGCCAAATGTACTTCCAAAAGTTAAGATTAACTGAAAAATGTACTTAAATATCGATATGCTAATTAATTGTGACAGTTAACACTCGGTAAGAAATCGATAATAACACATGAAGAATACAAGCATTGAAGTTTTTAATTATTTGTTCGAATTGTGGGACTATCTTATTATCAAAGCTTCATCATCATGTTAAAATTGGTTGATTTTTTTTTTATGTGAAGTAAAACCAAAGATCCGATAGATATTGGGTTATTATTCCCAAGATTAAAATTAGACAAATAAATACACGAACCAGACACAACATATAAATGTAACTAAGTACTAGACGAAGACAGATATTACATCTAAAAAATATGAAACCCATTATGTAAAGGCAACTTAAAAGTAAGAAAAAACACATTATACAAACGAATTAGGCCGAAATAAATTTAAAATCATAATTCATAAGCTACCATGAAACTAAGTAGAACAGAATGTCAGTGCATAATTTATAAACAAAATATAGTTATAAGCCACAGTGACAATATCTTTTAAAATAAGCATTTCAACTATGAACATATTCACAGCAGGTTAAATTAATTTCATAAAACGCGAAATCATGAAATTACACAAAATTCATTATCATATTTGTGAAACATGAGCTAAAGAGTTATAAGTTAGTACATTTTATAAAGTTAAGCAGATTAAAATGAAACTTAGGAGATGTCTGTAAAATGGCGAGATGAATTAAAATATGAACAATTAAAGCGTGCTGAATGAATACATGCGTTTATTTTCAATGCAGACAGTATCATTATACTAAGTATATTATTCTAAGAATGAAATTTTTTTAGTATCATAATAGTGTATATGCATAATTATACTAAGAAGGAATTATATTTAAAGTGTATAGCTTATCAGAATATACATGCAGTCAACAGCTAACTTTATGATTATACTCTAATAATGGTTTTTCCGAAAACATTATTTTTTCATTATTTGTAAGAAGTATCATCTAATATACCTCGAATAGATATTGTATTACAAATTAGCTTATCTTTGTATATCCAACAGCTTCTATAATTTTAAAAACTTTGAAATGTTATTACTAGTAATATTATTTTTCTGTACAGCTTACTCTATTCTCTTAAAACATAAAAATATGATTAAAAAAATCCGATGTGGGCACCACAAGACTTCTTTGCAATACCTATTAAATTATACACATTTTTTGCTGCATTTCATTTAAAATTTATTTCATCGAATTGCATTACAGATATATTTCTCATTCAATTAATTCAGTTCTCACTTCGCGGAAGGCAAAAATACATGAAAACTCAAAACATCTTCATTAAAAACTGAAAAAATATAAAACACCAAATGCAATTACAACAGTTAAAATTTTTTTACAATTAAAATTAGAAGTTCTGCGCAAAAACAAGCAATTCGGCCAGCAGCAGGAAGCCGGATTTCGGTGTACAAAACTGGAAGTTCACTTTTGGTCGTGCTCTGTAGAAAGACACTGAAGGAGCAGAAACTGACTTAATTTACTATTCTGCTAAGTTACAAATGTAAACAAATATGGCTGCTGTATTAGGGCTTAGTTGTACTTAAGCAACCTTTAAGCAACCATTTTATATCTGAACAGCTGACGATGGTGGTTCGGTAAAACCATCGAAACTAGTCCTGTGAAAATTTGAAAATATAGCGCTGATTTTTGTTGTTTGACTTCTGAATTAGTATTTGTTCGGCGTGTTATTGTGTCTTAACCTTTAAGTTGTTGATAATTCTACAACTATTGAATGCTGATTAACTAAAGGCATAAAAACCTTCAAGGAAACATAAGAAAAACATAATTCAATCACGTTTCAAGCAAAAATTGCAAAATTTACCAACGATATAAGAATTTTAAAAAATGACCTCGCCGAGACGAGTAACAGAGTGTGTGTGTATATCCTACTAGATATATACTTTTGGTGAGGCAGATTTGAACCCAAAAGGGAGGTGCACAGCTACATGTTATAGCAGTCCTATAAACAATATTTCAATCTTCTGAAGCTATTGATTTTTGAGTTATGCGAGATACATCCATACGGACATACAGACGTCACGAAAAAGTCTCTTCTAAATCCATTTTAAATCGATTTTATAATAAGTTTTGGGAATAAGAGTCTTTTATTCTGCCCTTAAGTAAAGATGTCATAAAAAAACATCGCTAAATTGCATTCGATAGCAATCAAAATGGATATTTTCTTTGAAATGAGATACCCGAAAATTTTTCGTGAATACAGTACTCCCTTATAAAACTCAACAAAACTTGGTTTTATAAATTTATTCATTGGAGAATGGAGATCGAATTGAGGATGTATTCTTATGTACACAGCGAAAATTAAGACTTAAAATAGAAAAATTATGTACAATATTTACATCCCATGCACAAAAAGTATACGATTACCCTGATATGCATATATATGCATACGAATTATTATTCAGCATATTAGAAGGGACTCTCTTCTTTCTTACATATATAAATTCTTTAACTTATAATAGGATTTCTAAGTCAGAAATTTGGATAATATACTCTGGCTTACATTAAATTTTCAGATGTATTACTATCTGTGTATATAATTTAAGTAAAGGATACAAGATTTAAAGATTATATTGGATACTCCCCCCGCCCATATATATATATATACATATAGGGGAAATAAATTATTATTAACTAACTTTGCAGCAATTGCGCAAGTAGTAGTAAGTTGTTTTCGCACTAAATGAATTTAAGATCATACAACATTATATATATATATAAATATATATTGCTGGCATTAGCCATTTTAGTCTTTGGACGCCACTAAGGCCAGAAACGGTGGTCATTTTATTATGGAGGCACCTAATGGGCGGCCACCGTTGCTCCTGTGAACGAACAGATAATTACATCCATGGAGAGATTCGAGTCCAGACCTTTCGGTATGGAATTCTTAAGTCACTGACCACTTTGCCGTGTGGGCGGCATACTGGATATTTTAATCAAATCAAAACTCATAAATACAGTCTACCTATGCTAAATTCTAGTTTTGTTCTACAGCATTCTCTAAGATTGAATATGAGGTTCTCATAACTTCTTTACTTATAATCAGCTCTATATCAGAACTTTCGTATTGCTGTTTTTAAAGTGTATCCATTTCAAAAGGCGCTGTATAATCAAACGTCATACCTTAACCAGGAATAGCAGTCAGCAGCAACATAGCAGTCAACTTCTGAAAAAATATTTTCTGATAGCCTCTTATCATTTTTCAAAGTAGATGCATCATGTCTTTATTGAAATGAAACCATTCGCCTTATATGTTTAAAATACAATTTGAATTATTTGAATTAAAAGATGTTTGCTAAGCAAACTTAAACACCTCATGAAATGCATACCATTGGTTTAAGAAACATGAGACAGAAATGAAGAAACGAAAGACATTGCAAGATATTAGCGTTTATTGCAAGAGACATTCCTCTGACCACAGTTCATTTTCTCTAACATTTATCTTAGGCATCAGTTTGTAAGATTTTACTTAGCCTAACATTGCTACTTTAATTCTATAATCTATCGGACATATAGTGAGTTATCGCTATGTCTGAGAAGGACGAAGTCTTAGGTTATAAAACAACGCTTTTATTTAACTAGAACTTTGGGCATAAGGGCAAGACTTTGTACTACAATAACCGCAGCTTCTGGTAATGCAAATAAATAAAAATGTCATTTCAAATTAAAATTTAATCAGCAGTGAAAAGACTTTGTAAGAAGCTGAATAAATACGAGCGCTTCAGATTAAAGTATTGGCAGCGGAAGAATGTAAAGCTGAGAGAATTATATTGTTGCGTTTTTCTTTCTTCTGACACCAATTGTTACGTTATTTTCTTTCTTCACGTTCCTACGGGGTTTGTATGGATTTGGAGTGAATAACGACGACACTACTTGATGAAGCATCGAAACATACTTTATTGGCCAGTATTGTCAGGACAGCTCCAAAACACGTTTACATTCGTCGATGAACTACTATAAACACGCTGACACGATCAGCGACACAGCCTCCAGGTTATCAGACTATCACGGCGGAGACAGCTTCACGGCAAAACACTAGAGTACATCTCCTGACTCTGCTTGGTTGTTCTCGGAACTCCTCGTACTCTCGAAGACTCTCCACACTACAACTCACGATGCACTCGACAACACTAAAGAGCACAGCTCTCGACTTTTCGGTTCAGTCGTTCCCGGAGCTGACACGATCAACTCTCTCCGACGATGCACTAACCGCGAATACACTACGAGACTCTTTCGGTGCATTCGACGACCCACTCAGCACTTGCTGCCCGGCTGTCAACTCAATGGACTCCGCAGGGATTGACTCGCTAGACGAGACACCAACTCGATAGTGACTATCTCGCACTCTAGACGAGGCACTCTCACTCGCCCTGTTGACGAGGCACACTCTGAGACACTAACTGACTGAGGACCAGCAGGGTTTATATAGCTTTCGGCTTGTGTTCGAGAACATTCTGGGCTAAACCGGTAAGAATTCGTTCCAGAAGGTTCCCCATCAATCCATGGCATATCGTCAATTTTGTCGCCAAATGGGCGATTTCTCGCCAATTGTGGCAACCGTGCCTTTCCTTACCATTTTATGGCAACCCTAAAACTGCTTTGCGGGGAAGCCATCTTACCGCGCCTGTACATTTCGTAACAATATTTAACTAGCAGATACGCGGCCAGCCTTCGTCTGCCTTTTAAATGTACTGGGGAAATGCCTGAAGGGAACAAACACCAAACGTGAAATTTAAAAACTGCGCAG